GCCTTTTTGTTGAGGTATTCTTGAAGTCGATTTGCAAGCCTGTCAACCTCTTTTTCAGAAGCTCCACTTAAGTCCCACGATGCAATCAATTCTTTGTTTTTTGGAGTTAAACATTATAGGCCTTTTTGAGGTTGATATCTTAGTAAACCTGGTCGAAATAAGCTTTGAACTCAAACAGAAATTGGACCATGAAGTCTAGGAGCCTTTGCTTGTTAACTTCGGCCATCAACTTCTGAATATCGATGCCAAGTTGAGTGTCTACTTCAATAACATTGAGAAGGTTGACTTCAAAGATGTTGGCTTTGAGTTGTTGGATCAGGAGGTTCACAGAGCCTTCACTTGCATCAGTCAAAGAAGCATTATAAGAATTTGATCTTGTGCCAGTCGAAAGCCTGCGTAGTTTCTGAAGCCTCCTAAAGGCTTTTGCAAGATTTTTCCTTTTGATGGCCAGAATTTCTTCTTGACTAAACAAAGTGTTAGAGGAAGAATATTAGATCGTAGATTGAACTTGATTATCTCCGATAACTTTAGGATGACCATCCCCTTCTGGTGGAACGTCATAGACATTAGGTTTAGCTTGCTCTTTATCCACTTTCTCAAAACTCTTTGCATTTTATGGATCGTCCTGTGATAAATTTTCATGGACGAAGGCTATGGTATCATCAAACTCTTTAATTTGTCAGGGAGATAATTGGTTGACATCGACCTCTACTTCAGGGTTTGGCTCTTTGTAAGTGCCTCCATCCTCATTATACAACTTGATCTTTAGATGAACAAACGCAAGACTAGAGAACAATAAAATCCAACCAATGGATGAGAGAGTAAGTTTTAGTGGGAGTATAATGTTGGATGCCTATAAATTTGTCCACCACACTCTCACCTAACTCTGGTTATCCTTGAAAAAAATAAAGGAACAGTTAGGTGTGTTGGGTAAAATGATAAATGAGTAGTTCAAAGCAATACCTCATGTTCTTTTGTCTCTTTCTCATTGACTAGGAGACCTTTTAGTTGTTTGTACTGTGCCTCATTATCAGGACTGGAAAAGTTTTCGCCTTCCTTATTAGAAGAACCAACAGTTGAGGTTGGTTTTTCCTTAGGAGGATTTATCTTTTGACTTGTGCTTTTCGTCTTACTGACACCTGGCTTAAGAGAATGTTTGGTTTATGTCTCAAGAAGATCAAGGTCTTTTCATTGTCATTTGAACTCTCGACCTCGACCAACGTCTCTGTCGGTTTCGACACAGCCTGAAAAGTTTTGGTGGTCATTTTTACCAAATCATAGAAACCAGAAGTTAAGGAAATCATGTGCATACCTGCGTCGATGCAACCTTTGTGGTTTTCTTCCTTTTCTTGGGTTTGGTGGTTGTTGGGGAACCTTGGTCATGTTTTCGACTCTGAAAAAGAAAATGATGTGTTAAAATCATCTCGAAATTAACCAACATATAAATGGGGGAAAACTTACTTTTTTCTTTTGGTCATTTTTTCCTTTTGGGACCTTACCAGCATTGGATGGGCCTTCGACATTGGCTTCGCCTTGTATTTTATTTTCACCTACGAACGAAGGTATATGAGAAGTCAAAGAGATGAATATAAATGAGCCGAAAGTTATTAACATGTACCTAATATGTTCTTAAGACTTTCCTGTAAGTTGGAAAAGCCAGTCGCCTGTCTCTTGTGAAAGTTTTCTTCAGAAAACTTGCCTTGAAAATAGTTTGACAACCAATTATCAAACTCCATCGTGGAGTAGAATGAAGGTTAGAATTGAAATGTAGGCAGTTTGAGAACTTGTTGACATGTGAACTGCAAGCAATCCCTATACTTTTGAGCTAAAAACTTTCTCCCCGACCAACAAATGTCATTTTCCCAGGTGTATGAAGACTTTGGCAACATTTGACTAAAACCAAACTACCTTGCCACTAAGTTAGGTTGGTAACTAATGAACCCAAGACCAACTAACCCTGTCTCGATGCGAGTAGACAGGAGCCTAGGGCTAAAAAATGCTGCCTAAACAACATTCAACATTGGGGCAACAGAAGGAGTTACACCAGGAAATTTGTTTCAAAACCAGGTAGGACTAACACATCTATATATGAAGGCTACCATAGTTGAAACGAAGGTTTTGGAGTTGAGAAACAAATTGATGTACTTCATGAACGTTATTTGTGAATGAGTCTCATATGGGGTAACCAGGGTAAGTCTTGTGCCTTCTATGCTCATACTATCATTCTCTTCCATTAGAGCCTTCGACATGGTTATTTCTAATTTTGGTTCGAACACGACATTTAACCAAAGCTGTAAGAGCCACAGAGGGCCAAAAAGGAGGTACTTTTTATTGGTCTCGGGGAGGTGTTTTAGCTTATAAAAAGTGCTATTTATTGATTGATATAAAGTGTTTAAAAGTAACTTACCAAGAGAGATCTTTAGACCCTCATGGAGTTGGATTGCTAAGGGACCATATTTTTTCTAACTATTTGTAAAGAACTTGAGCAAAAGAAGTAATAAGAAAGTCAATGGGTCAGAAAAGCAATATGCTATTGGTCAGAGACCTTTTATGTAATTTTGTTATGATGGTTAGTAATGTACGTTTTAAAGTTGAATCGATCAAAAACAAATTCATTAAAAATGTCCAAAATAGGGGTAAAGGTTTCACCTGTGGGTTGTAGCCCAGTGATAGCTGCTATGTCGAACAAAGTTGGTGTGAGCATTCCATAGGGAAAGTAGAACATGTTTGTCAAACCTTTTCAAAAGAATATCGAAGTAAGTAACATAACAGGGTTATACATATGGTCGGTTCTAGACAATTGGATTATGTTGAAGATACCTATGTTTTCCCATTATTCTTTTTCTTTTGTTTTGGACTTTGTCGAGCCATGCAATGTAATCCTTATTTTGGGATGGGGGCAGATCAGAAAACACGTGTAGGTGTTTCTATAAAATTTAGGTCGATATAACATTCTTCGAACGCAGAAAGCACGGTAACGGGATAACAAGAAAATGAGTTTTTCACCTTCCCAAGGTGTGATTTGGCAGGAGGAAACATGCCCTAGAAACACAAGAAGTTTATCAGAGATGGAAAAGAGAATAAACACTTGTTTCCCTAGATGCAGACTTTTTCCTTAGCAAGTGGTGGTTTAGGCACAAAGTCTATTCCTTTCTCCTCCTCTGATGCTGCAATCGGGAATGCTAATGGGTTCTTACTGGTAACTGGTGCATAAGTAGTGAAAATTGCCATTGTTTCTTCTCTAGAAGTTATGTAGAAAAAGATGTTTCTTTGAGTAAACAGACTGGTGCAACTAATGTTTAAAGTTGGAAGAGTTAGAATGACAAGATGAGACTGATATTTATAGAGGATGGTAGTGAGCAACTGTTCGACAAGTGGAATTGGCGTGGCAATCGGAGATGGTTCCTATTCAGGAAGTGGAAATGTTAATGGGCTACAGAAGTAACTTCCCACTCTCCCAAGAAGTGAGAGCAATGATGGGGTTTTCTACAAAAAAACCATGTTGAACAGACGTTTGTGAAAAGACGTATTGATGACGTTGACGTCAGCAAAAGGATTTGAACAATATTAAAAATCATTTCAAAAATGCCACCTTTCTCCTTTTGATTAAAGGAAAAGCCGAAACATGACATTTTGGGGGACAATTTATTACCTCAAATTTTCTACACAAGCTTTGGATCTGAGAATTTGACCTAGATCGAAATGGTCAGTTACGACCATGGTGTCAGATATGCATTTCGATGAATTTGTCCTGTAAAGGGTGATGATGACCTTGGTCGAATTTTCAAGCAATTAGTTTTAAAGACCAATGATACGTAAGTTTTGGACTTAGTGACATTTGGGATTTCCAATGTTGATATTACTCCGTATGCAGTTGAACAAGACATAAACAAATAAGATTGGACGGTTATCCAAGAACACGTGTGAAGATTTCTCATAAATTCTACTAACTCGAAGTACTTAAGTGTTTAGTGAGAAAAGAATAATCTAAAAATGTATGTATTTACGTTCCACTTCATAAATTAAATTCTTTACTTTTTAAATTATTTACTACATTAAAAATTATTTTCAATTTCTTTTATCAATTTGTCTTGTAATTTATAAAATTGAGTTAATTATTTATTTTTACTATTTAAATTTTTTATAAAAATAATTTTAAAAAAGTACAATTTCTTTTTTTAAATTAAAACAAACTACCCTAACAATATTTATGAGAATGAGGTAAAGTATGATATTGTAATTAAGTTAAGTCAAAGTAAAACAAAAGAATAAGAAAAAATGACACATATTAAAAAAAAACCAAAACCAACCAACCAACCAACTTATAGCAAATAAAACGAAAAAAATTGTTGTATTTATTGGAATGAGTTATCAAATTAGATATTTAATCATTTAAAAACCCTTTCAAAACAAATTTTAAAATAGGGAAAAAAAAGTAAAGAAATGGAAGAGTGAGTAATGGCATTAGTTGGTTAGGTGGTGGCCCGTAGAAAGGAAGAGGCGAGAAAGGAAAGAGAGAGAGAAATGTGAAGGAAGGAAAAGCAACACAAAGGATTGAATTGTGGTTCACCGCTCCTCTCTCTCTCTCTCTCTCCCTCTCTCTCTCTCTCTCTCTCTCTCTCTCCGTTGCAGCAAAACACCTGATTCCATCTCTCTCCATTTCAATTTCTCAGGTCTTTCTTCTCTCATTTCGCCACCGCATTTTTAATTTTTCTGATTCATCCTTCAATTTTGTATCTGTACATTTTTTTTTTACATTATTATTATTGCAACCGTACATTAGGGTTTCAAAATTAAACACCAACGAAATGGAATTGATCCATGATGATTCCTTATGCATCGATGCTCTTTTTCGATATGATTTTCATTGGATTTTATCAAATTATTCGCCTACATAACATTTCGCTGAATTTCAGGAAAGAATCAAGGTTCTGTGATTAATTATCTCGCCGTGAATTTCATTGTGAAATGGATTCTCCAATGTGGTTGGAGAATTCTATATGAGTTCTAATCAACCACTGCTTTCCGAACCAGATCTTGTTCCTCCAGTGATTCATCACCGCCGGAGATCAGGATCCCGCACCACTTTCTTCTTTGACGAAGCCGCGGTAACTCCTCCAACCGCGGACAACCACCAGGAGGTTGTGTTTGCGACAGATTGCAGCTTGCACCCCGCATTCTGCAACAACACCGCCACAAACAACAGCAGCAGTGTTTCCATTTCAGCACCCCCTTTGACAGAGTTTCAAAACCCTAATTCACGATTTCCTTTGGAATGCCCCACGCGGGAAAGGGGACACCTGCGATCCTGGGGTGCAATGGAACTGCATGATGCTAATACTGTGCCCTTTGAAATTTCACTATCATCATCAACCCCAGCAGGAACTTCAACTCGCAGGATTCGTCATAAAAGTGTGCAGTTTGATGAGCAGATCTTACATGATGATAGTGCTAGGTTGATTTATATAAATGATCCTAAGAAAACCAATGATAAGTATGAGTTTACTGGGAATGAGATTCGAACTAGTAGATACACTTTTATCACATTCTTGCCTAAGAATTTATTTATTCAGTTCCATAGGGTTGCTTATCTGTATTTCCTTGCTATTGCTGCACTCAATCAGCTTCCTCCCTTAGCTGTATTCGGGAGGACGGTGTCCCTTTTCCCGCTTTTGTTTGTTCTTTGTGTTACTGCTATTAAGGATGGGTATGAGGATTGGAGGAGACATAGGTCGGATAACAATGAGAATAATCGTGAGTCTCTGGTTCTTCAGTCCGGTGATTTCCGGTCCATGATATGGAAAAGAATTCAGGCTGGCGAGGTTGTTAAGATCTTTGCTGATGAGACCATTCCTGCTGATATGGTCTTGTTAGGGACAAGTGACCCGAGTGGGCTTGCCTATATTCAGACAATGAATTTGGATGGAGAATCAAATTTGAAGACAAGGTATGCCAAGCAAGAAACCACTTCTATGGTATCGTCAGAGGTTTGTGATGTTTCTGGGATTATTAGATGCGAGCAACCAAACCGGAATATTTATGAGTTCACAGCTAATATGGAGTTCAATGGAATTAAATTTTCCCTTAGCCAGTCAAACATTGTCCTGCGAGGTTGCCAACTGAAGAACACAGACTGGATTATTGGTGTTGTGGTTTATGCTGGACAGGAAACAAAAGCCATGCTGAACAGTGCGGCTTCTCCTTCCAAGAGAAGCAGACTGGAAGGTTATATGAATAGAGAAACCCTTTGGTTGTCGATTTTTCTTTTCATCATGTGTATGGTTGTGGCCATTGGGATGTGTCTTTGGCTGGTACGTCACAAGAACCAGCTTGATACCTTGCCTTACTACAGAAAAACGTACCTCAACAATGGCCCGGATAAAGGAAAGAAATATAAGTATTATGGAATACCAATGGAAACATTTTTCTCCTTTTTGAGTTCTGTTATAGTGTTTCAGATAATGATACCCATATCTCTTTACATCACAATGGAGTTGGTTAGGTTGGGTCAGTCTTACTTCATGATTGAAGACATGGATATGTATGACTCTAGCTCTGGATCAAGGTTTCAATGTAGATCATTAAATATAAATGAAGATTTGGGTCAAATACGATATGTATTTTCAGACAAGACAGGAACACTAACAGAAAACAAGATGGAATTCCGGAGGGCTAGTGTACACGGAAAGAATTATGGGAACTCCTTGGTTACTACTGATAATAGTTCAGGTATTTGGTCTCCCTTTTATATAGTTATGCAAATTTAGACTGCTCAATGTTGCTGTGTAGTGCCATTGTCTCTTGTCTTGCTGTTGCGGTTTGAAATTCTTGTTACTAAAATTCTTGATATTTATGGGTTGAGATTATGGGAAATTTTTTGATTTCTCATGTAAATTGTGAAATGCAAAAGTTATGCTTTTAGACTGCTTTGGTTTATGGTAATTGCTAATTTGCTGGACAGGTTAATGACACTGTTGCCAATATAATTGTGTTCTTTAATTGTCATTTCCTCTTTAACTACAGAACTACTTCTAATTGATCCTGAGGTGGACCTACTAGTGTTAATGCATCGTGAATATAGAAAGCCTGATCTATAATTATTGTATGAGAGCAAAAGCTTCCTATGTGTTAGCTGTCTGTTTTCTTTCCCTTTTACAATTTCGTTTTGGTTGCATACTTAATTGATGAATTTGCCATGACCTTCAGTAGTTTTAATATTTTGCTTTGAGTCTGAATGTGTCAGCCACACGAGTTCTTGACAAAAACCATCTGCAAGCTTATAAATGAATTATAGTTCTTACTTATGACAAGTTTGTTTTGGGTTTTGTAGCAGCAACAGCTGTTATTCCGAAACAGAGATGGAAGCTCAAATCTGAAATTGCAGTTGATCCTAAACTAATGACCATGCTGCATAGAAACTCAAATAGAGATGAAAGAATAGCTGCTCATGAGTTTTTTCTTACATTGGCTGCTTGTAATACTGTGATTCCTATACTTACTGATGGGGGTATTTCTGGTTGTGGAACAAGTGAATCAAATGGATATGTAGAATGCATTGATTACCAGGGTGAATCCCCTGATGAACAAGCTCTAGTTTCTGCGGCCTCTGCATATGGATACACTCTTTTTGAGCGGACATCGGGACATATTGTTATTGACATCAATGGTGAGAAACTCAGGTAGATTGTGACTTCCTTTGAGATGGCTTACTACTTTTTACATTTTGCTTAAACAATGGGTTACTACTTTTTACATTTTGTTTAAATGATGCTGGGATACATGATTGACGAGAATGTATTGATCTACATTAGACGTTCTAGATTAGTTTTGTACTTTTTATGTAATTTATATCTAGATTACTCAGTAATTTTATTATGTCTGGTTTATAGGTTGGACGTGTTGGGACTGCACGAATTTGATAGTGTGCGAAAGAGAATGTCCGTTGTTATTCGGTTTCCTGACAATGTGGTAAAGGTGTTAGTCAAAGGCGCTGATACATCAATGTTTAGCATTTTGGCAAATGGCAGTGAGAGCAACAGTAGCTTATTGAATGCAACTCAGAGCCATTTGAGTGAATACTCATCACAAGGTTTACGCACCCTTGTGGTTGCCTCTAGAAGTCTTTCTGATGCTGAACTTGAGGAGTGGCAAAGCAGGTATGGAGAGGCTAGCACAGCGTTAACTGACAGAGCTACTAAACTACGTCATACTGCAGCTCTTATAGAATGCAATTTAAATCTACTTGGAGCAACTGGAATTGAGGACAAGCTGCAAGAGGGTGTACCAGAAGCCATTGAGTCCCTACGGCAAGCTGGAATCAAGGTCTGGGTTCTTACCGGTGATAAACAAGAGACAGCAATTTCAATTGGTCTTTCCTGCAAACTTCTCAGTGCAGATATGCAGCAAATTGTTATAAATGGCACTTCAGAGGAGGAATGCAAAAATCTTTTGGGTGATGCAATAGCCAAATATGCTGTGAGATGTTCAAGTAAAGGGCATCGGCATCTGAAGCATAAAACCAATGCTGAACACGACGCTCTTGATATTCCTAATTGTTCAGAGTCACCGAGTTTGCCCAAATGGAATCTAGGAAAGGAAGAAGGAACTGATACTCCATTGGCACTCATAATTGATGGGAATAGTTTGGTTTATATTTTGGAGAAGGAACTGGAGTCAGAGGTATAATCATTGTTTCACATTAGAGTAAAGATTTATTTTTGAGATTTTATATCTTTATTGGGCATCTAAAAACTTGCTTTTTCTGTTTGAGTTGTTGGAGGTACATATCCTACTGGTTCAAATTTGAGCTGATTTTCTTTTTCCATTCAACAGCTTTTTGACCTTGCAATTTCCTGTAAGGTTGTACTTTGTTGCCGTGTTGCACCCTTGCAGAAGGCTGGAATTGTTGATCTGATAAAGAGCCGCACAGACGATATGACACTGGCCATAGGTGATGGTAAGTTCTTCACTGATAGTTTTCCAGTAAGCTGCGGCTATCAAGCTTCAACTAGTATTCACCAATGCATTTCAAAATAAGATTTGACTCGATATAAGCTTAGTAATTTTTTTGAAATACTTTTGACAGGGGCCAATGATGTGTCAATGATCCAAATGGCAGATGTTGGTGTTGGAATATGTGGGCAGGAAGGACGTCAAGCAGTGATGGCATCAGATTTTGCTATGGGACAATTTCAGTTCTTGAAAAGATTACTTCTTGTTCATGGACACTGGAATTACCAGCGTGTTGGTTATTTAGTTCTGTACAACTTCTACCGCAATGCTGTCTTTGTGTTGATGTTATTTTGGTATGTATCAATTTCTTTGGATGCTATGGTTGATTTCCTTGTGTTTATGAGTTTCTTTTTCATTCTTTTTATTGTTTCTGTTTGACTAGTTGTGGACAAATAATTGACAATTTTTTATAAATGTTTTAATTGATATCTAAGTCTAGTGGGAAAATACTTGGTCAAAGTAATACACCTGTTATATTCTAGTAGCAGCATATCTGAAAATAATAAATTTCTTCCCTCTTGATGTTCTTGCTATCCTTGTTGCAATGTGTATTTACTATATCTTTTATCTTGGATAGTGGCGCGTTGCGTAGCGCCAAACCCCCAAAATGCTATAGCGGCATGTAGTGTCGAACCCCCAAAATGCTATAGTGGCATAGTGGAATGGTCGCCATTGACAAGACTAAAAGACAGTGTAAATGCATAAATACTCAAATAGAAAAATACACAAAATTAAAGGGACAATTATACTTCCTAATTATTAGTATCCTGTCATTTCCCATCATAATGAGTTCCCATCAAAATCAAGTTATAAAAGTATTCACAATGACTAAATCAAGTTCTAAAAGTAAGTAAAATGATAAGTCTAAAACTTAATAGTAATTGAAGTCATGCTTCCACATCTGCATCTGCCTCATCTCCACTTCTAAGTTTCCATCACATTAATGTTGTCTTGTTCATCACTTGATTCAAACTCTTGTTCTTCCACCTCCAACTCCGCATCTCTATAACCAAAAAAAAGAACATAACACAGGGAAAAAGGAGAAACTGAGAAAGAGAGAAATAAGGTAAAAGAAAAGGAGAAACTGAGAAACCGAGCAAGATGAGTTGAATAAAAACCTTTGAAGAGAAACAGAGCAAGGATAAGAAGCTTTGCAGTACAAGGAAGGATGGTAGCAAGCAAGTGATAGCGAAATGAAGGAGAGAAAGGTGAAATGGAAGCGTCAAACACGCGGGGTTACATATTAGGCCACTCAAAGGTGCAAAGGACCAATATACCCTTAATAAAATTGAAGATTTATTCAATACCAAAAACAAAAAAAAAAAAGATTTATTTAAAAAATTAGGGATTTTACGATTTCCCCCCCCAAAATCACTATAGCGGCCATCAAAACACGATGCCACTGCTAACCACTATTTGCGGCCGCTATGGTTGCTATTCTTAGATGGTGCTTTGCAGGTAGGCCTATGGCTTGGCAGTGGGGGGCAGCAGTGCCTTGCTACACTGCTGCAGTGCGCTATTAACAACATAGGTAATATATAAGGTGTATCATAAGTTTTAGGCTCAAAGAAGATATTGGATTTTAATATTAGTTGCAGGTTTTATGAGATTTTTACCATTTTAATGCACTGTCTTCCTGTCTGTAGGTATATATTATGCACGGCTTTTTCTACAACTTCTGCATTAACAGATTGGAGTAGTGTGTTCTATTCTGTGCTATACACATCTGTACCCACAATTTTTGTTGGTATTTTGGACAAGGACTTGAGTCATAGGACACTTTTACAGTATCCGAAACTGTATAGTACTGGTTACAGGCAAGAAGCTTACAATATGCAATTATTTTGGATCACAATGCTTGACACAGTATGGCAGAGCCTTGTTCTCTTTTACGCACCATTGTTTACCTATAAGGATAGTTCGATTGATATATGGTGCATGGGAAGCTTGTGGACAATTGCAGTTGTTATCCTTGTAAATGTGCACCTGGCTATGGACATCAACCGCTGGTTATTGATTACTCATATTGCTGTCTGGGGTTCCGTAGTAATTACATATGGTTGCATGGTGATATTGGATTCCATACCCGTCTTTCCTAATTACTGGTTAGTTACATGTGTTCTACAGTAGGTGTTCTGTATGATATAAGTATATAGATGAACCATAGGTTATAATATAATGTGTCTCAAAATCATTGCAGGACTATTTATCATCTGGCAACGTCCCCTACATATTGGATAACAATTTTGCTTATAATAATTGTGGCGTTGCTACCTCGCTTTATTTGCAAAGTTTTTAGTCAAATCTTCTGGCCTTCAGATATCCAGATTGCAAGAGAAGCTGAGTTAATGAGAAAACGACACGATCGTTTGCAGTCAAGACATCAAGGTTCCAGTTAACCCGTGTTACTCTCATGCCACTTATAGAAACTAAAGAAATCTCAATATAAATGGCCCCCCTTGTATTTGTCCATCACAATGCATTCTTGTGGCAGTTGGTTTTATAAGTTATCAGGTAAGGGAATGTTTTCTCTCTTATTACTTTAAGTGTGGATTTCCCCCGTTTTGTGACATTATATTCTTTGCATTCGTTTCCTTGGGTTTAGTGGTTTTCTATAGCTTAATTTTGGTTTTATAAATTCCCAAGTAATTCTGATGTGTCATTAGTTTAGGACATCACTTTCTTCATTGATATGGCACTTTTGTTGCAGTTACTGTAGGTTTTAGAATATATAAAGGTCACGTGGGCCCTGAAAAAGGGTCATTGTAGTAGGTGTAATATGCAATCAGAACAGAAAGTAGTAGGTGTAATATAATTATAACATAAGGTAAGTTGAGTGAGGAGTATCATCTGTGATCTTCTTCCCCGATCTATTTATACTCATGTGCTGGGTAATGAAATGGAAGAGAGGCAAGACATGGATCTTCTTCCCCTGATAGAGTTTATTTAAATGTATACATATGTCTAAGGTTAATGTAGTTTACTTGAGAGCTTAAAGGACATGCATTGTTAGTTTGTGTACAATTGCCTTACACTAACATTGAATTATAACTCTCCATTTTGCCAAATCAGAGGACCATTTAAAAATATTTAATTAACATAAAAAACTCAATCACAATCCACCACCACAACTATCGATGTGGTGCAGAAAAAGTTTAGAAAAATAATCATCATTTATCGTTCTGAAAATGGGTAGAAAGGTGTGGCAGAGGCACCACTGTCCAATCCATGTCCGTCTCAACAACCTCATCCTCATCGCTGCCTGTCCTCTAACTCCGCAATAACATGACTTTCCTGCATAATTGAAAAGAGGGATAATCACCGAAAGTGAGGATGGGAAATCAGTTTGAGTAGAAAGAAGAAAATATTTGAGTTAACTCTTTAAAATCAATAATGTGGCTAAAGATTGAAGTTTTACGTGGCTAAAAGATTACAATGAAGTCTGTATATCCCTTAATCTCTTATTTTCAACTAAGAATATTTACACAATCTTACAAATATTTATTTATGAATAATAACTGACTAGCATACTCATTTATGTTTTTATTGTGATTTTGTTGATGATGTTTATCTTTTTTACATTTTTCTCAAAACTTATTTTTTAATAGAAAGTACAAAAATTATATATTATCATAAAGGAGATGTGAGGCATGAAAAGGGAAGCCTAGTGCACAAGACTTTCACCAGGTGGGGCCTGGAGAGAGTAGACGTATGCATTCTTAACTCCTGAAAGAGAAGCTGTTTCTAGGATTTGAACATGTGATCTCCATGTCACAAAGTGTCAACTTACCATTGCTAAGAGTCACTCTCAAACACGGGGCATAAAAGTGCATTCAAAACCGATTTGAAGACCAATGCAATCCAATCCAATAAAAAATTTGTTCTTTTTTTTTTTTTTTTGGGTTTTTCGGCGTGATTATTACCGTTTGCTTTGAATTGGACTTGTTTATGAATATTTATAAATTGATATTTATTAGGAATTTTGATTTCATGACACATGCTTTTTCACGGTCATACAAGTGTATATATCATTCTCTGTGTGTGTGTGTATGGATGCTTGGTGAAGAATGTTGTGCACACACTTGTACATGATCAAAATGAGCCATTTGCTTGAAATAATTGATGACTGTCTTCAATTGCTGAATTCTGTGCTTGGTCCTGATCTTTTCTGGTCTTAACTCTCCAGATGTGTTACAGAAGCAGATTGTGTTGATGTATAGACAAATACAACCAGATCTCTTGGGGAAGCTCGGATGCCGTAGCTAGTAATCAGCTTGTTGGCTTTTGCCTCCGGACAGGAAAGTTAAGTAAATAGGATATGGAGGTTGGAATAGGCTCACACTAAGGTATTTCCAGCTATTGATGTGGGGGGGATTTTTTTCAGGGGGACAATGCAGACACGATACTGATCCTGGATTCTATGAAGTGTAACTAATTGTACAATAGTTCTGTAAAAAATCAGGTTTAAAAAGGTCCTTTAACAAGATAATTTCTCAAGAAGCATAAAATGAAAAGAAAGGAAAAAGGTAATTTTCATTAAGGCTTGCATCCCCCTTTCTCCTTACCTTGTAATTTTTTCTGGTCAATTAATTAACGGTCAACTCTCCTAATGCAAGTTTCATTTAAAATGTTTATTTTTCAGTTAAAAAAATTTAAAGGCCCTTTAGGTAGTGTGAATGTAATCTAGGAAAAAGTATGTTACTCCACTGTCAATGGAAAAACACTATCTCAGTCATACCAAACCAGAAAGAACGTGTTTAGTCCTCCAGGAGGACTTTCTTTTCCTTTAGCTAGTGAGAACAAAATAGAATTCGTGGGTTTCAACGTTCTTTGAAGTTGGACTGTGCAGTGGTCTTTTTCAAAGAATGTTTGACTAGAGACGAGCCTCAGTCCTGGTAGGTCGATTCATGCATATAAGAGGTAGTATTGACTATTAGTAATCGGGAAAACTTGACAGAATGAATGGACATAATTTTATCTTATTTTAATCGATAAAAGAAGAGATGAATAATACTATTTCTTCTTTCCTTTTCTCTTCAAAATGACCCCTGAATAAGAGGTACTTTTTGGACCCGCATTATGATCCGTTTAAGGTGTTGTGGATTTTTAGTCTTGAAAGTCATTTCGAAATGAAATATGTTTGCTAAAATGAGGTTGAATTGATTTTTTACAACTTCAAAGTTTTCTAAATTCAACAAGAGGTTTTATACGTTCATTTTAATGGTAAGATGTCAATATTAATTATTGCCGACCACTACTAAAACTTAATAAACAATCTTTGCAACCACGTTAAAAATTTGATGAATAATTCATCAAGTGCAATAAATTGTCAGCAATAAATTGTTTTAATTTGGACTAAACAGTACTGTATTATCTTTACTAGAGGTGAGTATACATCATATAAAATCATTCATCTTTCTTGTCTTTTAATCCGTCATTAGAACGTCAAAAAAACAATTAAGTCATCTTATCAAAATGTCTGGATTCTCTACTTCGCAACTTGTGATAATCATGATAAATAGACAATGTTATCAATCTGAGATTTTTTAGAAAACAAGAATATTCATTAAATTCAAGCAAAAGAACAAGTTTTCAAAATAAGGACTTAACATCTAAACTTAAGTTCAAATTACATCAAAATAACAAAAACAAAATAAAACAAAATAAAAAGGGCAACAATGAAACACTAGAATCACATTTTTTTATAGATGAAGGTGAAGGTGGCTCATAGTTGTCCATCATTGCTTGAACTAGTTCATTATGCTCCTACTTCTACCTCAAAATTTGTCTTTTTAGAGTTTTATGCCTCTTATTCTCTCTACTTCTCTGAACTTAAAATGAGCGTGCAAGTCTTCCTAAGTCCCGAGCCAATCAAACATTCTCTGGGTGGGCTACTAATGGCGATGTTGAGCCATTACCTCACTGAACATGGGTCAAATTGGGGCGAATCTGCATACAAGTTCTCAGAGATGTCCATAGTCCAATTAGCTGTCCATAAATCATAACAGTGATACTGAGGAGGTGGTTGAGAAACACTTGGCGCTTGTAGAGCTTCTTGCTCCATCAGTTGGTATTTGACTTCCTCTGCAGCCCCTGCTCCAAGCTGACACACCGGAGTCCTCGTTAAACCATCCATGTAGCCTTTGTTGGTTGCTACTTTGGGAGGCCATAAGAGACCACTCTCCTCTTTAGGGATACCCGCAGCTTTGCACAATTCATTATTGTTGCAAGAGTGCCCAAAAACCTTTTGGTTTGAATAAATTATTAACTTGATGTTGTGAGCAATCAAACCTAATATGTTAATTGGTTCTTCTTACATGATAGCCCACAAACCAAACACTCTCCTAATAATCAATTCAGAATAATTTGAAGCATTTTCCATATTAGAAAAAAAATTATGCCAATGGCTTTGGTATTGGCTTCAAATTCTCCGTTGTCAATTAAGTGGGGTTTTGTCGAGCCTTAAGATACCACCTTACTCCTTTCTGACATATCTCAAGTAGCACCTGGTCCTATTCCTTATCAGATGACCTATTTGAAGTTTGGATGTTACACTTACACCATTCTAAATTATACATAACATATTCAAATCAAATAGGTACTATCACCTATCTATGAGTTAGTTAGAATAACAAATTTTTTCTAACTAACTCATGTTTATCTACTAATAATTTCAAAGACCACCTTAATGATTGATGTAGCAACCTAATAAAACTCATACGAGTCAAACCATTCTTTAAATATTAGTTGCGTCTTTCAAATATGATAATTATATCAATTTATATATTTGTAATACGCAATTACATACACTTCATCATTCTTTAGCATCATAGTATCTTTGCAAATACAACCTCTCATTTAAAGGAGTGTACTAGTAGAATATGAGAAGATCAAAACACTACATCATTGCTTCACAACCAATGACGTGTAGGTAACATCACTTATTTTTGTGCTAATAAAACAGAACATCACTTATTTTTGTAACACCACTAATTTTTGTGCTTATAAAAAAAGAACATCACTTATTTTTTTAATCTATTTTTTTCTTTCAAATTTATAATTAAATGATATTAATTAGTAAATTTTATAATATCTTATTTTAGATTTCATTAGATACTTAAATAAAACTCAAAGACCAATTAAATGACCACTTTCATTAGCAAGTGGCCACTATGTACCATAGAATCTAGTTGAGTTAAAATATTTCATCCAAGGTTTTCGTTTTCATGAATGCATGGATCCTCTTTGACTTTTGAATAATTAGGGAGTCTAGACTCTCTAGAGTATAACTAAAGTTGTAGACGTGTGAACATTCCTAAAATAATATATGTAATAAAATTACATGTTGATGGCTTGACCGAAATGGAAACGACAAAATTGAATCTCACAACACGATTTC